GACTTGGCGCGCTGCAGCAGGACCTGGTCGTTGACCTACCCCAAGTTGTACTTGGCCAGGCCCCGCAGCTCCTGCACTTGATCTGGCCCACGAAAGTGTTGGACCCCTGGCGCGTCTGCTCTCGATGGGCGCATGACCTCGGCATCCGTTGCCCTGATCGGGCACTGGCGCTCGCTCTGGGGCGTGCTGCGTTGAACTCCTTGAGCCAGAACGGTGCTTGGACATGCCGATCTTGGGTAGATAGTTATGCCATGCCATCGCATTTGTTCGACTTGTCGGGCTGTTTTGTGTAGCATCTCATCGACGGCGATCGCGCGTTCCCCATCTCCTCGAATCACGCGCGCGCGACGTTCCCGATGAGTCCGCTACATTAAGACCTTTGAAGTCTCGAGGATCACATCTCTGAAACCGAACTCGACGGTAAACCCAACACAAGGCGTGTGAGCAGTCGACCCAGATATCCCGACTCACTGTTACCCCTTCTTTCCAGTTCGCTCGTTCCCAGAGAGACCCAATAATAGGTGGTAGCATAGTTTCGCTAAGCTGCGGGTAGGGCCCATGATGGAGACGCAGACCTCGAGCAACTGCTGGGGCAACTGGGGGGGCTCTTCTGCGTCTTTGGGGCCCCTGGCGACGAAAGGCGCGGGCGACGGCTTTTCCGCGGTCTCTGCAGCGCGACCAGGGTGCTGCCCCTAATCGCTGCGGGAGCTCTGAGTTGAGCAACCCAGAGCAGTAAGGTTCAGTGCTAAGTGGCCTGACGGGAGCACCCTCGTGGGAATCTCGCGCTGAAACCGATGCGAGTAGACAGCGTTCTTCTCATGATCAATCACAAGCCCCTACTTTTTTTCAACATTTATATTCCCAACAGAACTGGGGCCTGACGATCCAACAAGTAGATGCCTACCGATTCGCCGTCAAGGTCTCTCACGTTGAAAATCACCCACGCGGGTGCGCCTGCCTGGTCGCCTCCTGCAAGCGAGAAGCCCAGGCTCTTGTCAGTCTGAATCTCTATCGGCTCGTCCAGGCGCTCGTTAATGCGCTCCAGCTGCTCGACGCCTCCGACGGACCTGGGCGCTCCACCGTCCAGCAAAGCATGGCCTTTGCTCGTGCCCATGCTGAAAGCCACGCAATTGTCAGATTCCTCCTCGGCGACATTCCCGGAGTCGCCCTCGCCATTCACCGTGCCGACGAACTCGTCCAGGGCGCCCACGAGGCAGTTGGGCTCGACGACGTGATCGACTGCTCCGTCAAAGCTGTTCAAAGCCCGGCGCCTCGCTGACCGGTTCCCTGAGTTGCCCCGATTGGGGCGCCCCTTCGCCTCGTGGCCTCTCTCGCCGCAGAGTAGGCAGGCATCATTAACCTTGATCGTGGTAGGAGTGGCCCCTTATGGCGGTAACTGAAGACGTGCTGAAACATGTCCGCGACCTCTGCCACGGCCTTGAGCTCCTCCCCGATCCTTTCCTTCTCATCTCCGCGGTGGTCCGCCACGATTCACGGCACGGCCCCGGCCAACTTCGGGGGCAGGCTGGGACGGGAGAGGGTCGTAAGCGCTCAAGCCGACGACCGGGAAGTAGCCTCGTGCGTTCTTCACCTCGTTGATCAACTTCCTCGCTTCCACGAACGTCCGCGATGCCACGAAAGCCGTCTCGCGCCACTCGTCCGTCTCGTGGGTTGAGGCCGCCGCTTCCAGAGCTTCATCGCCATGTTCGGGCTCTGCGGTAGCCTTCTCGCCTAGCGCCGCTGTCATCAGGTCCTCGGCCGCAATCATCGCTGACTCGGTGAGGTCCGCCGCTTCCTCGAACCGGTCGTGGTAGGCCTCGTCGTGGACCTCCTCGGCATAGGCGGCGAGCTCCTCGGCGTCCTCGAAAACAGCGTGCGCACCTTTCCGAGACCTATACCCCTTTTGTTTGTCTCTGGCGGCCAACTGTTCTTCAGACCACTGCTCAGCCAAAGCCTTCTTCACGTCCGTGTAGAGATAAGAATTCCTGTTGGGCCCCGACGTCGCCAGCACTGCCGCCTGTTCGGATAGATCCAAGCCCGTTCCGTCCAGCAGTATCAGCTCAAGGATGAACTTATGCATGGAACCTTGTACTGGAATCTCGTCGCACACAGCGTGGAGAGCCTTGCCAATCTTGTTGAGATGGATATCGAAGCGTGAGACCCAACGTTTTGGACCCTCACCTGGATTGCGATAGACGCCTCGCATAAACTCTCTCCACTTGGATACCGCTTCCTGCATCGTGGCGGTGCCTCTTACTCGCTTGCGTGCCTCTACGACCTTCTCGGCGCCGTCCTCCTTCACGAGATCTTCCAGTGAAGCCTTCTTCGCCTCGCGCAACTGCTGCGAATCCTCGTCCATAGCTTGAACTAAGCGAAGGCCGAGAAAGATTATGTCGTCCTTCTTTGTGCCGAGAACCCACAGCTTCACCATCTCCTCAAAATTCTCCAGACTTGAAGCATCACCATTCCACGCTGGAATTTGTACTCTGGCCTGCTGGTCCGTCGATTTGGAGATCGACTCGAAGTGGGCTGCCACTTCGTCCCGCTACCAATGTCAGTGGAGCGTGTTATCCACGGATCTCAGCCTTACACTTCGATATATATATATATATACATATATATATATATATATATATATATGCACGCTCTAGTCTCTGATACACGTCACGTAGAGGAACGTCTCGGTGGCGGGGTGTGCTCGACAGAGCGTTGGAATATCACTTCGACTGTAGACGAGGTGCTCGACAGAGCTTCAGATATCCAGCCAGAAGAGAGAGAGCAAGCGAGAGCAACATATTGAGAATGATGTTGCCATCACACGCGTGCGGTCCCCCTGAGCTTCGGACCAGGTTTATCTGTCACCAAAAAGGGCCAGGCGGCTGGCACTAGGCCAGACGGCTGCGGAAGATAGAAACGATACGGGCACGTGCAGTTGGTTGAATTAGGGAGTCGGAAACTCCGTCCTAAACAGTACAAAATCAACCTCATATTCACAAGAGGCCTCTTGGGATTTTTGTTGGGCGAGGTGGGAAAGGAGGGATAATGGGAGAGAAGATGTTCCCGGAAGCCTCTCCGATAATATTTGGATGACGAAGACGGCGACGAGGAGTGCAATGATGAAGAGTACTGTTCAGATGTTCCACTCGAGAATTTCGAGAAGAATGTATGGTTTCCTGGCGGTCTCTGCGGAGCGTCGCAGGGGCATGTTGGAGGCGTCTTGGGGGTCTCGTGGAGCCCCCGAGAGGCCCTCCTGGGGGTCTGTTGGTCTTTTGGAGCCTCTTGAAGCCTCTTGAGGGCCTCTTCGGAGCGTCTTCAGGACTCCATGGGCCCTCTTGGGATCTTTTGGGGGCTTCTGGAGCATGCCGGAGGCGCCTCTGGAGCGTCCAGGGACCTCTCCGGGGCCTCTTGGGGGCCTCTCGGGAGCCTCTTTGGGTAACTCAGGTGGCCCTCTGGGGCCTTCTCTGGATTATGCCGCGGCCGCAGAAGCCCCTCGGAAGCGGAAAAGCGGAATCTTCAAATTGTAAAAATTGTCCTTTGGATGTTGGTGGACTTGCGCCTCCTGGCAATCTCTTGGAAGCCTCTTGCGAGCCGCTTGGGGGCTTCTTTGGGCAGTCTTGAGCTGCCTTGAGCCGCCTGGACGCAACACGGTGCCGCCTTGGCGGCCCCGAGAACCGCATGGAGGTCCTCGTGACCCGTCTTGGCGCTCCCTGGGAACGCTCCCGGGCCCTCCAAGCTGCGCGGTGCAATCCATGTGGTGCAAGCTATGTGGCGCAAGCCCGGCGGGCGCCCACGAGGCGCCGACGGGCGGCCACGGGCGAGGCGCCCACGGGCGGGCACCATTATAACATCCGCAGTCCCAACCAAATCCCTTAGGGACACAAGTAAGAGCCTCTAGTGCATGGACCGTTCAGGGAATATCCACACGACGGGGCGAGCATTCTCTGCCTTTGTCCCAGCACCGTCCCGATCCCAAGCGCTGCCGTACGTCCTTCCTCCGTTTTCCCCCCTTCCGATTGATCCTGTCCGTGCCTCCTCATCCTCCGAGTCATACGCCTCGCGCTGTACCACGACGACTACGGCTATCCTCGGCATGCCCCTCCGTATCCCATTCAGCTCGGTCAATTCCTTTTCCTTGCCCCCCTCTCCTCCGCACTTCCTCCATCTGTTTCAACTCACACTCTCTCCCCCTTCTCCTCCTCCACCGCATCATAAATGTCATCCTCATCCAACGAGGTTGCCTCCTCGCACTCCCCTCGCAAGTTATCAACCGCCTATCTACCCCATCGCACCTCATGTGTGTAACCTGTTTGTGTTCGTTATTGGTTACGGTTTCATCCTCCTTGGTCGCCTATTCCGGATCTTCCATCTCCAACTCCTCGTCCATCAGTTCTGCCCCTATGTTCTCTCGTCTTCGAGTTCGCTTCCATCCTCCGTCGATTATAGTTGTGGTTCCTCGTTCGCATCCTCGGTTTCGTCATCGTCATCGTCGTCCTGCTTGTCCTCGCTGCATGCTTTCAGCGCCCCTTCTCCTCGTTCTCGTCGTCACCCTCTCCTTCGTCCTCGCCGGTGTCGTCCCACTCCTCGCCCTCATGACAGTCGTCCTTTTCCCACTAGATCCTCTGGAAAAAAGAGGCCGCCGATGTCGCAACGAATACTCCTCGAACGACATTGTGCCGATCCTCCTCAAACCCAACCACCTCTTCCTGTGGCCCCCTGCCCCCCCACGCGCGCACACCAAGACGACGCTGTCATCCGTCGTCGTCGGCCGTCGTCTGTCGTCGTCGTCCGTTGGCGTCGTCGTCGTCGGCCATAATCGTCCGACGTCGTCGTCGTCGTTGTTGTCGTCGTCGTCGGCGTCGTCATCGTCGTTGTCGTCGTCGTCGTCGTCGCCGCCGCCGTCGCCGTCGCCGTCGCCGTCCGTCGTCGTGACCTCCTCTCCCAGCGCGCCCTCCCGCCTCGTTTCCTCGGCGCCCCGCCCCCTTGCCGGCGGGTCGCGCCGCCTCGACGATCGCGCCGCCGGCCTGTCGAGGACCGCGAACGCGGATGAGGGAAGAGATCGGAGACGAGGCGAAGGCGAGGGCGTCGGCGAGGGCGACGAGGAGAAGGAAAAGGAGGAGGAGAAGGAGGAGGCAGAGGTAACGGCGAGGGGGACGGCGACGACGGCGGGGACGACGACGAGGGGGCGGCGGGGCGCCGTGCAAGCACGGGGGGGCCGAGGGGGACGGAGGGTGAGGGAGGAGTAAATGGAGGAGCGGAACGCACCGAGGAGGGGGCAAGGGAGGAGGAGGTGGAGGCCAGGACAGGACATCCGCATAAGAGGGTCAACGTCAACGCCTACACTGGTGCATTGCGCGCGACTGGCAAAATCCCCCGTGATTAGGTTGCGCAGCAGCCCTGACTTCTCACTGGGGCCGGCAGGGGGCATACCCCGAAGCTTCAAGGGCCGAACTCCGAGGTGGCTCCGTAAGAAAGGCTCGATACCTTGTGAGTGCGAGCCCCTGCGGGTCAGTGCGGGGGGGAGCAGCTGTCGGCCCGCTCGCGCGCCCATGATACCAGGGGCGCGCTGGGCGAGCAGGGGTCCCAAGCGAGGGGGGGGGGAGACGACGACGCGACCTGTCTAAAGGAGAAGAGGAGGGGAATCGGGGGGGCCAAGCTTTCCAAACTTTTGCTGGTGGGCCGAATCGTACTCCCAACAGGTTTTATTACTACCCTATGATCTCCTGTCTCTCTCTAAGCTCACTTCTCTTCCAGAGCGCACTGGCCGATGGTTCCCCCATGCGCTGTCGCATCTGTACCCTGCTACCCTGCAGCAGTATCCCGCAGTGCCCCCTCGAAGCGTAGGTCGAGGAAAGCATGCTGATAGTCGCGGCATGTGGGAGGCTGGTTTACACTTCCTCCCCCAGTCCTTCTGTTCTGGCGGGGCCCTCGACGACGCGCCCTGGAAGCCTCCGTGATTATCTCATTGTTTCCACCCGCGTTCCCTGCTGTAGCGCGCCCGTTGGCACTCCAAAAGATCGCGTTCCAAGACGCCGCCAGCGCGATCACTCTCTCGAGGGCCCTCGCGCCGGGATGTCCCCGTTAGCAATAGCCCCGCTGAGTCTACCCGCCCTGCCTGCCTAGTGTCGCACTCCGAGAGATCCTCGCCAATGCACAGATTGGCGTTGCAAGTGGGCTCTCTCGCTCGTGGCCGCTGGAGCTGACCGCCTGCCTCGAATTGGAGCATTTCTCGAAGATTTCGGTGCCACCCAACGTGTTTTTTTGTTTTGCTTCCGGGGCTAGAGGGCACTCTAGGGGTCCATGGAGTCCTCGGGCCTCAAGCAAGCGGACGGCGAAACGACCGCAAGCTCGCGCCCTCCGCCCCGCGACGGGTGCAGAGGCCGACGGCAGCGAGAACGGGCACAAGCGGTCTTGAAGCTTGGCAGAAACAAACACTTGGCCACAAACGCCCCCCAAGCATAAACGGCCACTCAGCGCGAGAGACCAGCAGAGCGCCAGAATTCGCGACTGCGGAGGGCCCAGATCTGTCGTGGCGCACTGTGCCGACGTGCAAGAACACGTAGACGGGCCTCACATGTTTGCTGGGGGGCCCCAGCAAGACGCAGACGAAAATAATGGCTCGCACTAACAAAAGCATCGCAAAGCAAAGCAAAGAGCAGCCGCTGGCCAGGCCCCATTACGTGAAAAAGAAGGTCGGAGGAAAGCCAGGGCAAGCCCTCAGGAGGCCTCGGGGTCCACGTGCCCATCCATTGAAAGAAGAGACGTCGAAGGGGAGCACAACGACAATCGTGTTTCAAGTCATCTAAATCCTGGGCACCAGAGGTGCAGCCCATCATGCAACCCCGAGCCGTTGACTGAAAACGAGAGGATATACACAACGAGCGGGCAAGAAGACTAACAACAGCGAGATGGACATACATGTTCGTAGAAGACACCATTGATCTACGTTTTGAGACAACAGATCCAATCATAGGAATAGTAACGCCAGGGAGCCATGCACACACACGACGATGTAACGCATGAGTCGGGGAGGTTTTCGGACGGTAGGTTAGTGCAAGTTTCTTCATGTACTGCTTCTGGACATCAGGACGATCAATTCTAATATCGACCTGCTGGCTGCGTAACCAACCTTGATACTGGCACAGGCGGGTGACAAAAGACTGGGGAACACGGTCAGCAAATCGTCTTGCAGGGCACCAGTCGTCGTCGCGAAAGACGGCTTCAAAGTCATCTCGCAATCGTCCTATCACATCACAGCGTGCAATGAACGCGCACGCGTGGCTGCCGCAATCTGCTCAATGTGCGGAAACTCAAGGGAAACACCCAACTGCCGCAACGATAGACACATGTCATCTGAGATAGCTCGGTTAGGACCTGCCGTCAGTAGACGAACACAACAGCGATAGGGGGGCGCGCAGAACCATGGAGGGAGGACGAAGCTGCGCCACAACATATAATAAAGAAATACAGAACGTACGACAAAGAACGATGGACTGCGCCGGCCCAAGCCCAAGGTCCCGAATCTCCCTAGTACGCTTGTAGAGCGTATCTACATTATCCTCCCAAGCAACTTCATGAGCCCTCTCCCCAATCCACATACCGAGATATTTGAGACGCGTGGCAATTTCCAGTTGGGGAAACGGATCGCCAAGTTCCTCAAGGAAGTCAATGAGGGGTTCCTGGAGGAGGCTGCACACAAGCAATATCTGGCACTTCGAAAAGTCGAGTGCAAGACCAACTGCATCGCGAAGACGATTGAGGCAATCGTAGAGCGGGCCAAGCCCGCCAAGTAAACAGCGCATGCCAAAGCAGAGGTCATGCCATCCAACGGGGTCTTCGTGCTGTCTTGGAACTGCTGGCGCTTTTTGAACCTCTGAACCTCCTCCGGGTCGAGTGCGCCCTCGTTCTTCATCTTCTCCGAGGCAACCTTCGCGGCACCGCAGAGGTTCCCCGCGTCGTTCTGCGAGATCTTCAGCGCCAGCTCGCGACAGCTCTGCGTCGCGAGTGCCCTCTTCCCTGCTCTTTCCAACGCGCCCGCTGGGCGCCTTGCGATTGGCGCGCAGCCCTCGACCTGGTGCGTCATCGGGGAGGATATTGGGATCAGCTCGAGCAGCTCCTCTGGACCCATCTTCTGGGCGACGTCGTAGAACTTGCAGCCTTCCTCCACGATGGCGTCGTCTAGCTTCTGCGGCGGCCTGTCCGATGCGAACGCTTCCCACTTTTCCTTACCTTGAGCTTCGCCGCCATTGAGGGCCCCCTCCTGCGCGGGCGGAACTTCGCCCTGCACCCGATGCCGGGCCACTTCTCGCAGTCCCTGCCGAAGTCATGCTTCGTCTTGTCCACCCACTCTCTCATGGGCGCGTCTTCTGGGTGGTTCTCCCGCGCCATCGCCAGCTGTGCCCAGCCCACCTTGCGCCGGAGCTTCCACCGGCGCCCCCCTCGAGTTAGGGCCAGGGCCTGTCCGCCACAGCCCGTTGGGGAAGGCGAGTCCGCACGAGCAGGCAATGTTCTTTCTTTTTGTCCCATCCTGCGCTCCTCCCGCGCACGTTGAACAGTTGCATGTTAGCGTTCCACTTGTCCACGAAGTCCAGCGCCCTGATGTGCATTGTCTGATTATTCCCTAGGTTCTTCGCCGTCTTGTAGTGGCCCATCACGTGCAGCTCCTTCTCCTTGTCTCCCAGTTCTTTCTTGGCTGCGTTCAGCGCTTCTTCGTCATGTGCGTCCATGGCCATGTGCTTGTTCTGCAGGATGTCAGATTCCTCTGCGCATCTCAAAGCATCTGCCATGCATTGCCCTGCTTTGCTGAAGGCTGCCCAGATGCCCCCATTCATTATGATGCCCTCCAGCAGTGCCTCTGACATCTCCTTGGGCCCCTCGGCGGCCATCTTGTTCCTCTGATTGCGGAGCGTGTTCTTAAATCCTCCCTCGGTTTTTATGGGCGCCTTCGCCGCCTGGATCTGCCCCGGGGACTGGGCTGCCCGCGCGGCTCCTTTAGCCTTCCATTTCTGTTATCGGCATACCTGCCCCCTCGTAATGCGCAGGTCTTCCCAATGTCGCATCTTCTCCTCGTCATCCCGCTGGCCCCGCTCTTCCTGCCTGAGCCCCCCTTCCATTAACTTCCATTGCCTCGCTGATATGCGTCGCGCCCTGGCTCGTTCTTGGCGCGACCCTCGCGGCTCTCGATCGCCCTGTAATGCCCGAACCCCTTTGCTGCAGCGGCCTTAAGGCCATGGCCCGTCGCTGCCCGCGATGGCCACGGACAGCCCCCAGCGCCCTGCACTTTGAGATGCCCCCGTTGGCGCGCGACGCTCGCGCGCCTGGGCCGTCGCTGAGCCGGGCGGGCCGCGGGTGACGAAGGTCATCGATAGAGGCTGAAGTGCAGTGCCCATGTGCCCCGAGGAACCCACGTGGCACTCTGGAATATGGCCCCACTCTTCCCCCCGCCGTCCGTGACCCATCTCTACAGTGCGCGCGCGCCGCGCGCGCAAGATCCCCCGCCCCCCGTCTCTCCGGCGCTGCAATGGGGCAAGGGGATGTAGATGAACTCTCGCGTCGCCAAAACTGAAGATATCGGCCACTGACTAGGGCGGGCGGACTGGCTGCTACGAGGGGGGCCTCTCCCCGAAGCGTTTCTCTGCAACGCCGCCCCCCGCCCTTGTCGAAACTTTAGGGCCAAAACTTATATTTTACCATGCGGGGCAAAGCGTCTAAGCTTGGCAAGGCGCAAGTCGCCCATGCTGATTGACTCCGCTATCTTTTCATCATCTGAAAGATGTCTCTTCTGCTACGCTTGTCCGCTGTTGGGCGCGCCTGCAATGCCCGACTGCCCGGGCGCGGCCCCCCCGGGGGGCGGAGCTCTCAGGGCTCGGCGCTGACGCCGTCCAAGGGGCAGTGTAAGTGCTCGTCCGCGACAGTCGCGGTCTGGCATTCTGCCCCGGGGTTTCTGCGCTCCGAAATATCCTCGCCAATGCAGCACCCCCCTTCACTCTCAGCGGCGCCGGCGCTGGAATTCTCGTTCCACCGT